CGATCGACGAGCTCTGATTGGTAAAGAGATTTATCGGCGTGCCAGAAGCAGTAGAAGATTCCTTGCCATAGCTTCTTCATGTCTTCGTCAGAGATTTCAGTCTGTTCAGGGAGCCAAGTACGAAGAACAGTTCGCAGAGATCTGTCGCGGATGGTTTGCTTGCATGAAGCGAGCTTCTTTATCAGCGATTTGCAATGTTCTTCAATGGGTTGCTCCTGTAAAACTCGATTCCGTTTCACCATTGTTATCGGATTCGAAGGAAGATGCGAAAACGAAGTGACGGCAGCTTTTTCGTGTTGGAGAAGTTGGGAGAGAAAGAGAGACCTAACCTTTTTGGTTAGGGTTTATAAATTTTGGTTCTTTTTACATTTTAACCCCTCGTCTTTTGATTATTCTCTGTATTGTTTGGAAAGTAGCTCTTGTTTTCGAGTTTTTGAAACGAATATTATTTCTTCATTTTCAAAATACATTATTCTTGAGAAAAGCATTTTTTTTTCAAAATCATTCTCTTTGAAAGAGGTTTCATGTGTGGTGTCAAAAAAAAGATTTTAGGGGCCGATTCAAAGTTTTTGTTCTTTCATTTTTTTTCGTAGATTTATAATTTAAGCATTTGACATACTTTTTCAAAACAACAAATAGTTTTCGTATCTAAACTATTTTATTTTTTTTATTCAATATGCTTAGTCATAATTTTTTAATAAATTATGTTTTTGTTCTCACAGATATACATAAATACAAAAAACAATCAAATCATCTATCTAATTCGAAATCAATTCCAACAATAAAAAATTAAATGATATCATTTTGCGTAATAATGGACACCCAAACCAAGCTTTTAATATTATACAAATGTTAAAAATTCAATTATTTTCACCCTTTTTAAAAAAAAAAATTATTTTTCACATACAAAAATTTTGTTTGTTAAATAAATATTGTCTTCGATTTTTCCTTGGGTTAAAATATACCAAATTTTGTATATTTGAAAGATTTCCAAAATCTTAATAGTCGATTATAGATTGGATCTTAAGTTGTTATTGGACATTTGGTGAAAAATTACGTTGCATGAAAACGTGAAAAAAGTGGCGTTTCTGTTTCGGAAACGTTTCAGAAACGGAAACGCGAAAAAATGCGATGGTAACGCGTTTCCTAAATATCCCGATTTGGAAACATTTTGGAAACGTGTTTTTACAGTTGGAAACGCGGCCGGAAATGTGTTTCCGAAAATAGAAACGCGAATTTTGGTTTTTTTTTTAAATTAATTTTGGTTTTTGAAGCAAATTAAATAAATATTTTGAAAATATAGGGATTTGTTTGATATTTTTAATAAATTTTAAAACCTAATTATTAAACACTAATACATTATTTTTCTCTAATCGTCACCGTAACCTAAAAACGTAGAAGAGTCGAAGAGATAAGTAAGGTATTTTTTTCAATTACAATAGATTTGTTATTGATTATTGAAATTGTGAGTCGTATATAAAAACGAAGTGTTTTTTGTTCGAGTCGGATTAGATTTGTCTTGTTTCAAATATTTTAAAACTATTGATAATTTTGGTTTCATGATATATATATATACACACGTTTCTAAAACGTTTCCGTTTCCTTTTTTCTAAAGAAAAATCGTTTTTGCGTTTTTTAACGTTTTGCTTCCA